ACTCCAGGTCCAACACTCCCGCCTACACCAAATCCGACACCAGTGCCCACATCATCACCAACTTCCAAATGGGATCGGATTTTGGCAGACCACCAACCCTATCATCCTCAGGCCTATGAATGGGTTATGACTACAGACACATGGGAACCGGATCCTTCTTTAAGAGCTGACCCAGATGAACTATATCTGGAACGTTATGCAATCGCGACTCTCTATTATTCCTTTGTCCCAAGTGGTGGAAGTTGGTTTACACAGGGTGCAGAGGCTTGGATGACGGCCAACAATCACTGTGACTGGTATAATGTTCAGTGCGATGATAACGGCAGAGTCAATAGCTTTTCTGGGTCGAGCTCAGAGCTTGAAGGTACCCTCCCAACCGAAGTCGTAAGTACTACCGTTGTTGTTCCATCTTCATCTAGTGGATGCAAAGATTCAATGCTAAATTGTATGCTTCTTACAGGGCCTATTGACACAAATGACTGAATTGCTTTTCTGTAAGTAATACTGGATTGCAACGACTGTTTCTATTAAGTTGGGATGCTCATGTGCAAGCGATATGGTTTCACTCGATAGTCTTCAATGATTTGACGGGTGTCATACCTACGCAGATTGGAGCCTTGACAAATTTGAGTTTTGTGACTCTGGGTCGAAATGGTTTCACGGGCACCATACCCACAGAGATGGGGGCCTTAACAAAGTTGACATATCTGGATGCGACTAGTAACCGCTTTACTGGTACGCTGCTGGATTTTGCCTTTTGCTTTCGCTGTTACATTAGATTCTTACAACACAGATTATCGTCTTTGAAGGATCTCTCCCAACGGAATTGGTACGTTGTTGAATAGTGGCTTGGTTGTGGTGGCTGCGTTGGGTCTGCTTCTTACATGATACATTTTCATTTTTGCAGGGTCTGCTCTCCCAATTGACTGCTTTGTCACTCGGTAAGTGTTGACTTCAGATGTCCCTCAACGCAAAGACAAACTGTAGCCCGACCCTCACTTTGAATTTTTGACTTTTCGCCAGAGTCAAATCAATTTGCCGGGACTATACCAACCGAGTTTGGTAGATTCGCTGTAGTTCAGTATTTGTGGCTGCGTAAGTGCAATTTCAGCAGCTCGTTTTATTTCCAGCAAGAAGATTGTATGCTTAACTTTCGCACGTTGTCTGGTGTATAGATGACAATTTTATTGCCAGCTCCATACCCTCGGAAATTGGCCTTCTGACTGACACGCTTGAGCTCCGGCTGGGTAAGTGCGGCACCACTATAGCTTGAACGGTTCGAATCTTTGTATGCTCAACTTTTGCGTGCTCTACCGGACACATACTATAGATGGAAACTTTTTACGTGGTCAAATTCCCACCACGTTGGGCGTAAGTAGATTGCACTGTGAACTGCTTTGTCAACATTGCGACCTTTGCACTATATTGAATATGCTCACCCATTCGTTCTTCAGTCGTTGACCGCAGTCACTAGTTTGAATTTGACCGCAGGCTTCATGGAGGGTCCAATTCCCACAGAAATAGGGTTATTGTCGCAATTAGAGGAGCTGTACTTGGGTGACAATTCTCTGAGGGGGTAAGAAGTTTTGGTCAATGAGAAACGCTATGGTCCTAAATACTTTTGACTCAAACTCGTTTCACAATAACACTTCCATTCCACAGTACCATCCCTACCGAGTTTGGCAACTTGGCAAACTTGTGGGGTTTGAACGTATATGAGAACTCGTTGTTTGGACCGATACCAACAGAAATTGTGAGTATTATTATCGCTAATACGATTTCAAGGAACGATTCTTTCAAATCACTAATCTTCATTGCAGGGAAATATGTTAAGTTTGGAGGAATTCGCGGCATGGCGAAATGATTTGTCAGGAACCATACCTTCAGAGTTCCAGAGTCTGATTATTTTGACCCTATTGGATTTGGGTAAGTACATCGTCCAAGCGGCCATTTCAAAGTTACCCGGGCGTCCACTATACTCACAATTGTTCTTGTTCTTTCATCTTCAATCTCTAAGGAATCAATTCTTTGACTGGTTCGATTCCACCGCTTCCAACGTCACTGACAACATGCTACCTTGGTACGTTTTGAGTTTCGAACAATTCTTTCGAATATATATATCTCCTCTAACACTGCTGCATGCTTCTTGTTCATCGTTGGACGTTATTTTGCAGCTGAATCGTACGACGGTTTTGAGGAAGGGAACTGCTTTACAGATACCTCACAGAACCCTGATCAATGCAGTATCGTAAGCAACTGCATCTAGACCAATCCCTCATAGTTTCTACCGGTAGTCTCCTTCAAACCGATGCGTGGTCTGGTCCTCCGCCGTCAGATTAATTCATTCTAGCATATTCAATATGAGCCCATAGTGCAGGTTTATGGATCCGCCCAAACCTTCATTGCCCTCATGTCTTCGCGAATTTGTACAATTGGCAATTCTCTTTAGCTTGATCTGTCCGTGAAATATGATTAGTTGAATAGGTGCGCGGTGAGATACAGTCCAAATCAAAATTCTGTAACATGTGGTGGAAATACGTAAAACTGGTAGGCCACCTATTCAGCCTAAAATAGTACTTTCAAAGTTTTCGCGCGCCCTCGTAGAATTTTGTTGATTTTGTACCAATCCATCAGAACAACAAATCGCCATTTTCATCATCAACCTTCCGACCCCTTGTTGACATCAACAAAACATCGGGCATTTCCACTTTTTCGCAGAATTCGCTTCCTAACACATCACACTACTAGTATAATATCGAAAAAAGTGGAGATGTGAGTTGAATCCAAACGGTCAAAATCCACCAAAAAGTATGATGAATTTGATTTCACCACGATGGTAAGCTTTGAGGCACTTGCAGTCATCACCGACTGCAAGAAAATTGATGCACAAATGACAGTAGTTATATCTTTACATAAGCTATCCTGTTTCTATGACCTGATCTGGCCTCGTTGGTCCCCAAAATGACCTCTGAAGCCCACCATCAACGTCCAAAACGAAGAATTATTAAGGAGCCCACGAAGTCTCAAGGCACCAAGTACTTGAAAATTCCAGCAGAGGTTGCTTCTGGCGTTATAATGAAGGTCTTGGAATCATCTGGTGGTCGATATCAAGGTTTCTTTGTGCATGTTCTCCATCAAGTTCATCAAGTGGCAAAATTTGTCAAAAACACATCTATGTCATGGCATGGGCCCCACAAGAAGAATAGGTGGATTCAGATGTTACGGCAGGCACTTTTGATATATATTCTACGCCATGAGCCGTGATTCAATTTAGGTTTTAACCCAATCATGCCACAATCAACAAGAGTTGTTAGAATTGTTTCGGTCAGCCTGCCCTTTGGGGTCCACAGAGGGCCACACATGCAGAGATTGCCGAGCTCCAAGGTATAGTATGGTATATTGGTATCTGATACAACGACAGAGCATTATTGGTTCACTTTCTTTGTTTAATTTGGAAAGATTTTGCGATTTCCTTCCTTTGTGCTGTCGGTTCTCTGCCGCTCTGGTGGTCCCCCTGGCCGCCATTTAGACAGCTATCCATCCAACAACACACCAGGGTCTCCCTTGGATTCCTAAAGTTTAGATTTTTCGGGACCAAGGCAATGGTTCGTCCTAGATCAAGAATCATGTGGCCAAACTGGTGTAAAAAACAATGTAAGTTTGTTGAAATTTCTGGAATCGTCGAATTGTTGACCTAATTTATTAGTCCATGGGTATATCTAACAAGGTTTGGCACCTTGGAATGGGAGATTCAAGGTGGAAGTGATTGAGCTGTAGCTACTTGACCTGGGGGGGGTCAATTTGGCATTCAATCCAGAATTTCCCAGGAATGTGTTCCAGTCGCCGTGTCGGTAACCAGACACGGTAGGACCACTACAAAAGTGACCAATATACCTATATGTATCGACTTTGGGTGTTTTTTTTAAATGGTGCAGCAGAAATGAGATTCCTTGGTCTGGTTTTCTGTTGACCCGTCCCAACATCATTTCAGGAGCCCTGATTGAACGATTCGAAATTCCATGTATTCTAGACCGAAATTTGCAACTTTTGTTGTGTTTGTGTATACCACTAGTCTATGTAGATTAAGCAATAATACATATTAAAATATCAAGATTCAAAACCAGGTCTTATCGTAAATGGAGGCCTTGCCTCTTGTAGTATAATTTCGGTTGGATGTGTAGTCGATTAAGTCAAACTGGTATCCGACTGACTCGATCGATTACAGCGTTCTCTACCACGCACGGCTACGGATTTTCCACGATATCATGCGATGTGCAGTTTACAGTTCTTTTCGTGGACGTCAACAAAGGACTATTTCTGTCGTATTTTAACAAAATTATATCGGTATTTTAATTGTGATGGTTTCAAGAACTCTCTTTTTTCAAAGGCACAGCGTCGTTAACCTCGATTCGTTCCGTTCCTAGATATCCAATGACAGTAGGGATCACAAAGGGTGCACCACATCTGTGTCGAGTGCTCGAACGGTCCACTGCAACTCGTTTGTCT